TTCATCAAGTCGCGATTGGGTTTTTGACACGAAACATGAGTTAATTGTTTAACGAGCGAAATGGGTATTGAACTGAGCAAATGAGCTCCGAATTGAGTTTCGACTGAAGGGCTATGTTCGTATTATTATTTGTGACTCATAGGAACAAGAATCATCAAATTCTGAGTTCGTATAATGGAGTTAGAGCCTTTTTAATGAAAAGAAAAGCTGCTGTAATTTTCTGGGCAGTTTCTGCATTTTTCGCACGTGTGAACAGTAACCGCACCTGCGTGAACAGTATCCGTGTACAGTACCATGTACAGTAAACATGAACAGTATCCGTGTACAGTACCCGTATATAGTACATATGAATAGTATCCCGTATACATTACCCATGAATAGTACTATGCACAGTACCCATGAACAGTAAAATGTATGAACAGTAGCCACGGAAATTCTGGACAGAATGTTGAGTTCTAAAAATGGGACTTCGTCCCATTTTCCATTTTTACCAAATTGGAGCTCGGGTAGAGGCGATTTTTGGGAGATTTTTAGAGAAAAAAATGGGGTAAGTGTTCTTAATTTAATTTTGGTTGGATTACCCGAATCTATTACTAGTTTTGGCATTTAATTGATGATTTTAATTGGGAAAATCTTGAAAACCCTCTTGGTTTAATTTGAAGATTTGAGGGTTGAGTTGATGTCAGATTTTAGTAAATTGGTATGATTGGACTCGTGGTTGGATGAGGTTTCATATTCCGTAATTTTTGTCGGGTTCCAAGATGTGGGCCCCACGGGCGAATTTTGAGTGCAATTTCGGATTTTTAATGGAAAATATAGAATTTCATATGGAATTAATTCCTATAATCTTTATTAACTGAACCGAATTATTGTGGCTAGATTCGAGGCATTCGGAGGTCGATTTGAGAGACAAAGGCATCGCGAGCTAGAGGATTAGCCGGTTCGAGGTGAGTAATGATTGTAAATGATGTCCTGAGGGTTTGAAACCCTAGATTTGCACATCGTAGTGCTATATTGAGGTGAGACATGCGCTGAATGATGAGCGCAGAGTCTTTTACTACCGGGGATTGTGACTTGGTCCATCCCGATTGATGATTTTACCACATATTTGATTGAAACTTATTTGTTATCATTATGATTTGGGCTGATTGTCATACTTGGGTTTCGTGCCAATTATTTGAATCATTTGAGAACTTTTATCACTATTTTCTCACTGTTTTGACTTATATTTAAACTCAGTCCTGTTGATAATTATTGTNGGGGCCCCTCCGGAGTCTGCACACCTACAATGAGCGCGAGTACCCATTGTTCTGAGTGATTGATACTATGCCCGAGGGGTTGATACTATTCTGAGAGTGAGCCCGAGGGGCTGTTATTGTTCTGATATTGAGCCCGAGGGGCTGTCACTGTTCTGATATTGAGTCCGAGGGGCTGGTTCTGTTGATATTATGCCCGAGGGGCGGTTTGTTGTACATGTTTTGCCCGAGGGGCTTTTACATTTCTATCATTTTTGTTACTCACTTATAAACTACTTGCTTTACTTATTGGAAAAAAGGATTTTCACTTGATTTCTCACTGCTTTACTGTTTAAAGTGATTTTACTGCTTCAATATGGAATGTCTTGTGTTTTTGCGTAATTTATTCCCGTTAGTCTTTATTTATTATTATTACTCACTGAGTCGGAGTGCTCACATTACTCCCTGCACCTTGTGTACAGATTCAGGTATGTTTTGGATGATCGGAGGCAAAGTCATAAGAGTTTAGCAAGGTAGCTGCCGATGTTCGTAGCACTGCTTTTCTCTCTCCTCATTTCATTAGTCTATATTTGTACACTCCAGGCTTTCAGTTGTATTTATACCCTAGTAGATGCTTGTGACTTGTGACACCCTGGTTAGGGCGGTGTCGGGCTGGATTTCTGCATTTTTATTCATATTTTCCGCTATTTGGTACTATTAAACCATGTTTATACTATATTTGTGTTAAATTACTGTTTTAAAGGACGAGTTGGGTTAGATTGACTGGCCTTGTCTTCACGAGAGGCGCCATCACGACCAGGGTCGAGATTTGGGACGTGACAAATCACCACCAAAAACAACAACTTTCCCACCAAATAGTATCTTCGTATCCATTAGATCTTTCAATAGTAAATCAAAAGCCTCTATCAATTCTTTTTTGGTCATTGATACTTCATCCCATACGATTAATTTGGCATCTTGTATTAATAATGCAAGAGAACTTTGTTTACTAATATTATATGAGAATTGTCCATCAATATCAATAGGAATTTTAAAACGGGAGTGAGCAGTTCGTCTTCCGGGAAGAATTGAAGCTGCAACACCAGGGTAGCTGTTGCTAAATCTACAAATCCTTTTGATCGTATAGCAGCAAGTAATGCACGATACAAAAAAGTTTTTCCTATTCCTCCAGGACCATCTATAAAAAAAGCTTCAGGTTTATTTTTAAATATTCTATCAAGAATTATATTATATGCTTCTCGTTGTTCATTGTTCAATTTTGCTTCCAATAACAAATCTTCTTCTCTAACAATTATATTTCTTTCAAAATGAGAATCTTGAGCCTTTTTAGCAGCTGATGAAGCTGAAATTCTTTCCGGTACAAGTGTAAATTCATTTATGCCATGAATCATTGAATGCAAAATATCATTAATATGGTTTAAATCATATGACGAATCTGTTTCTTGTTCAAATTTGGCATAATCTTAAAGTCTTCAGACATAGAATCTTCAAATTTGTCCCAAAGTTCTTTCGGATTAGCAGGATCACAATAGATCAACAACGTAGAAAATAAACATCTTAAACTATAAGGCATCTGATATCTTACAGTTTCTAACATACAGTCAACCAAGTTATTATCGCATTGTAATAATCCTTTTTTTTCTACGGCTTATCTAAATGTACTACAACATACTCCATTTATAGTTAGCAAATGTTGATATAATTTTGGTCCTCTAATATTCATTAATAACAATTGAAGATAGTATCTTTCCCCCTCTGTAGGATGACGTGTTACAATACGTCCAATAACAGTACCCCATTGTTGACGTGTCCACATCCTATATTGTTTGGACTATACAAAATATTCTAGAAATTTCTTGTAAAGTAACTTTAGATTCTTAGCATCTTTGTTTTCTCTGTTCATCAAAAAAAATTCTGTCAACATTGTTTTTCTAATTATAGAATTACTTACAATTGCATTTATGGTCTATGTGGTTTTAAAAGAAACAAATTGTTGTCCTTCAAGATGTAGTTGAAGATGGTAAACAGCTAGGCTCATTTCGCTAATGGGAAAACCAAATAAACGCCAAGTTGCTTCCGGCGGTGAAACCCATCTAGCGGATTGATATTGTTTGATCTCATCTATTTCAATATTTGGATCATCAACATGTATGAAAAAAGCAATTTTATCATGTCCCTTGCAAATATATTTATAAAGATATTTGATAGCTTTAATATCAGAACAAACTTCAACATTAATATGACAATTAAATTTGCCCAGTAGATATGGATTGTAAGGAACTACCCAGGAGTTATCAAGAAGTTGTCCTCTAATATTTACAACTTTGGCGGTATTTCGTCTTTGATATATTGGATACCCATCTTTTCTCTTTGATGTGTGATCGGCAAATTCCTTTGGATATTCAAACTTACAATATCCTTTTTTTTTCTAAACAAGGACATTTAGGATTTAAGCTACCACAAGGTCCATGCATCATATGTTTAGTAACACGTGTATACAAGTAATTATTCGTATCAGAATCAGGCAGTTCAGCACAAACAATTTTTTCATAAGCTTCTGGAGTTAACAATTTATATTCGTTGTTGAGTATGATAAGAAAATGAGCATGTGGAAAACCGCGCTTTTGAAATTCAATAGTGTACATAAAAGCAGCAACTCTTCCAAATATGTTTCTCTTTAGTATATCTGTTTTTATCTCTTCTACCTTCGCTCTAAACACTCGACTAACTAAATCAGGCCGATTTTGTACCTCATCTGTTACAAATAAATGTTCTTCTATTTCAGACCAAAATGGATTACATGTCATTGTAAAAAATATATCAGGTTTTCCCAAATATTGCACTAAAGCAATAGCGTCCATATATCTTCGGCACATATCTCTAGGACCTCCTACAAAACTCGCAGGAAGAAAACTTTATTTACCAATATTTGATGTATCTCTCTCTCCGTGTCTTGGAACATTAAGAAGCCCCGCTAGTGCATCAACTCGAAATAAATCTTGATTAAGTGAATAGAAATCTAACCTTTGAGTCTTAAGCTTGATGAATTGATCAACTGAGTACTGTTGAAATGCTCTCCCAGCATGCAAAACTCTATTTTCTTCGTCATCCCTCATTTGAAGCTTATAACAGTAATATTCACGGCAAGATACAATATTTCTTTTTCATTTTTTTTTTTGCAGAAGTTCCATTTCTATATCAAGAAGCATGTCAATTGAGCACATATTTTCTACACTCGGAAGTTGGTCGTGTTCACGGTAAATTCCAGTACTAATAGTATTGTTCGTTCGAATAATCTTTTTAATACCACAGTGCCATCCATTATGTTCATAAGGAAATAGTAATGGATATTGCAATGGATCATAACAACCATAGTAATAATTTACCAATTGGCTCTTACAACTATGCGTGTAAATTCGAATGTGCGGTAAAGAAATATTGGAACTACTCTCATCTTCTATCCATATTGCCGCTACTTCTGACGATGTTGGTAAGTTGTATGTTCTTTGATCTAAACTAGAGTCAGACTTAAGTGCAATATAGAAGTTAGATAATTCTGAAATATCTATTAACGATTTCAAGAAAATGCAGTATGAGTTCATTTTCAAAGTGTCCATCAAAGTTCTGATAACTGATTCATTAAGCTTATCAGAGAATGTCATTCGATTCATTACTTCATTATTTGTATCGTAGAAATACAATTGTACATTTTTAGCCGGTTGACTCGATGGCACCAAGTCATCTATAAAATGATACATTTTTCCTTGTACTCTAAATGTATAAATACCGCGATTTCTTCTCGCTAAATCTCTATCATATTTCACTCCAAGAGAAGTAAATGCGAACATATTATTATACATTCTAACATAAGTGCGAAAATGTTGACATTCCTCAGAGTTTCCTAATTAAAGATTTAGCAATTCAGCAGGCATTCCATAGTGAACCAATTTCACTGAACCATTGTCACAACAAAACCCCGACGGTTCATATTCAAATCTTTTGGCTCTACAAAATTTACAGTTTGATACGGGTTTGAGTCTAAAAGAGCTAGTAGGAAATTCATTAGTGTTGCAACAACCCAATATTCTATTTTTACGACCTGTGTATCTCAAATTTTAGCGAAGGAAAATATATCAGTTCAAGGGAAAAAAATAATTGAAATGATTTGAAGGGTAGCTGAAAACAAACCTTTCTTTGTTGTTGTATGTGACGTAATGGTGTATTGTTCGGTGCACGTTCCTGAGGTGGACCCTAACATATAAGGAATTATAACATAAGTATGGATATGTCAAAAAACTACAAATAACACCATTGTTCCAGGCTTACCAACTTCAAAAATGCAGGAGCTACTACTTATATCTCTGCCATTATCAGAAATAACGGAAGCATCAACTGAGTACACATTTAGTAAGACAGACAAAGAGAAAACAAGTTAGTCACATCACATTGATGTGTGAACATATAAACTAAAATATACACATATAAGAATCAAGTTATTAACTAAAAAAATAATACTGTACTCACTTGTTTCCAAGAGATAAGGTGAGGCTCCTCTTACACCAACTGCATTCTCGATCCGCTCTTTGCTAAATTGACAGGCAGTTGGTACATCCGTGGAATTACAAATAGGATTATGTGTTGTAAAATGAAGGTATACCATTCGTTGTTGCATTAAGTTTAATTCTCTTATGTTTGCCAACATCTCTCTCTATATTTCACGGCGTCTCTCTTTTATTTTGACGCCTCTTTCTTCAGAGCATTGCCACTTCCCTTTTTTTGTTGGCATATGGAATCAATATTTTTTTCAAGCCTAGGCATCTTTTTATAGTCACAAAACTTGATCGCTGCCAAAAAAATGAAGAAACTTCTGTTAAAGTTGCTAAAATGCTCTACACAAACCATTATCAGACTATAAAAATAAATATGCATGAGAAATTACAACATCTCATTTTGATACACCAGTAAATTGACTATAACAGCAAACTAATGTAAGCCCTCCATTGATCCAGCCTCTTTCCCTAATCATCATAAGGCTAAGGAAATCAAAATTGACAACAACTTATGCCCATCTTGGTGAAATTAACAATTTTCCTTTCAAAGGCATCCAACTGAATGAATGAACTCTAATATCCAAAGATAAAGAAAACCTAGATTTTTTTAAAATTCTGACTTATATCATCTTCCAAACAGTAGTTATGATATAATTTAGCCCCAGAAAAATGAGAACAAAAGCAATTAATACTCCTCAAGACAACGGAGATAAAAATAAATCACAAACACTAAAAGATAGAGAAGATAGAAATATGCATAACAAATTTAATAGAAATGGTAATTCATTGAAGAATTTATTCAAACACTTAGAAAAGAGAAGGCATTGGTAATAATTTTATACCTTCAAAAGCCATCACTAACTATTAGCACGTCTAATGGAAAGATGAGAATAAGAACTCCTGAATTTGCATATATATAAATTTGTTATGAGCTGATAATTTAAAAAAAAAAAGAAAAAAAAAGAAATGAAAATAAAGAAAAGAATTCACAATCAGTCCCAGTAAAGATGATTACCATTCACAACGTCTATAGTACATTTTATATGTAAATTTATGGCAATTTGCTATATATCTTGTAAAACAATAGTACGAAATCATTTAATTTAATTTAAATATAATTATTGATTTCGCATAACAAAGACGCTGGCCTCATACTGAAAAATGATATTTTGAAACAAAATTCTGTGTTCTGAGGCCTTAAAACCCTCTTTTAGCATCACCTCGATTTGCGTACGCAGTCCGGGAGCGTAGCCGGAAAGCTTAAATATGAAATTCTATGAAAAATGATAAAATTTGGTTATAAAATGAGTTAATTTGACTTCGGTCAACGTTTTGAATAAACGGATCCGGACCCGTAATTTGATGCTCTCGGAGGGTCCGTAGGAAAATATGGGACTTGGGCGTATGCTCGGAATCGAATTCCAAGGTCCTGAGCCCGAGAAATAATTTTTTTTAAAGAAAATTATTTTCTGAAATTATTTAAGGAAATTTGAAATGAAATTTGATTAGAACATGTTAGTATCGGGACTGTATTTTTGTTCCGGCACGCGGTATAGGTCTTATATATGAGTTAAGATGTTTCTGTGAAATTTTATGAAAAACGGATATCATTTGACGTGATTCGGACCTAAATTGCTAAATTTGATACTTGATGAAGTTTGAGAAAAAGTTCTTGATTTTGAGGATTAATTCGTTGTTATTGAGGTTATTTTAGCGATTTGTTCACTTGGATAAGTTCGTATGATATTGTTGAGTTAGTACGTGTGTTTGGTTAGGAGCCCCGAGGGCTCGTGTGTGTTTCGGGAAGTTTTGAACTTCAGAAAATATTGCAGATTTCTGTTGTTAGTGCCCAGGGATTTAACCTTTCGCGTTCGCGTGGTCCCTCTCACGAACGCGTAAGGCAAAAATCCCAAGTGCCCTTCGCGAAGCTGAGGGGGGAGACCCTTCGCGAACGCGTGCCTCCACTCGCGAACGCGTAAGGTTCTGGGGAGGGGTCACCACTTGTGCATCGCGAACGCGACTACTGGTCCGCGAACGTGTAGGCTTGAGGAGCCAAAGCTCCGCGAACGCGAAGGCCTAGCAGGCCTAACCCATCGCGAACGCGAAGGGTATGTCGTGATCGCGAAGAACACTTTTGCCCAGTTATTTTAAAGTCTCAAAACAGAACCCTTTACGGGATTTTCACAAAAATTTCATAAACCTCTTCTTCTCCAAAGCTCTTAGGCGATTTTTGAAGCTTCTCTTCACCATAATCTCTTGGGTAAGTAATCTTTAACTTCTTTTCTTCCATTTTCATCAACATCCATTAGATTTCTAGGCCTAAAACATGTGATTAGGGTAGAAAATTAGGGATTTGGGTAGAATTAGGGCTTTTTGATTAATTGTGATTTAGACCTCGTTTTGGGGTCGGATTTGAGAACAAATTATATATTCGGGCTCGTGGGTGAATGGGTGATCGGATTTTGGTCCGAACCTTGTATTTTGACCAAGCAGACCCGGGGTCGATTTTTGGGAAGAATGATTGGAAAGCTATAATTAAGCATTGAAATTGGATTGTTTAGCATTTATTGATGTTATCAAGTCGATTATGTATAGATTAGATTGGGTTGGAGCAAAATTTGAAAAGAAAAGCGGTGTTAGAGGCTTGAGTTGGCTGTGGAAGTTCGAGGTAAGTGTTTGGTCTAACCTCAGCTTGAGAGATTAAGAGTTGTGTCCTATTTGTTATTTGTTCCTTGTTGAGTACGACGTATAGGCATGGTGACGAGTATCTATGCGTTGGTGTCAAACATAACCGTGATTCTTATATTGTGATTTTCATGATCTCGTTGTATTATTCATGTCTTGGTGAAGATTTCTATTTGTTGTGTAAAGTTGTGGAAAGAATTGTGACCTATGAACATTGAGGAGCGTTGACTCCAGTTGTATAACGAATTGTGAAAGTATAAGTGATAATCGAAACTCTAGAGCATTGGTTCGAGTTGTGAAGTGAATTGTGAAGTAAAAGTGAGAAAGAAAAGAGATCATTATGTGCCCCCTTGTCGGGTTATTGTTGAGTTGAGGTTCCCTTGCATTGTGTTCTTAATTGATATTACTGACGCTTAGGTTGATGATTCTTTGTGTTAGGTGTTGTAACAAGTTGGGTTATAGCTGAGGTAGTTAGATGTTGAAACTAGTTGAGTTATACTGAGATAGTTAGATGTTGGAACAAGTTTGGTTATAGCTGTTTCTCCCTTGCCGGGACGTATATACTTGTACTGTTGAGTTCCCTTGCCGGGATGGTGTAGTNGTTGCGCGTCGCAACAATATTGTTATTGTATTGTTGTAGACCTCAAGTGTTCTTCATACTTAATTAAGTTTCTGTTAGAATTGATATATTTCCCTGAAGCATGTTTGCCCTTCCCTTTTAAACTGTTATTTCCTGTTTATATTTTCGCTATATATTATATAACTGCACAAGTTTATCTGGAGTCTGGTCTTAGCCTCGTCACTACCTCGCCGAGGTTAGGCCAGACACTTACCAGCACATGGGGTCGGTTGTGCCGATGCTACACTCTGCACTTATGTGCAGATACAGGAGCAGTGCTTGGTCAGTAGCATTAGGGGAGCCAGCCTTCAGTCCACCGAGATACTGAGGTAGCCTTGCAGGCGTCCGCAGGCCCGACGTCTCTTCTATCTTTTATTATGTTCTGTTATCCTTTGTATCCGAAATAGACAGTGCTTTCTTTCTTTCAAACGGTTGTGTGTAGTGATCTTAGTAGTTCGTGGATATTGTGACACCAGTTTCTGGGTAGAGGCATATGTGGATCTTCGTGTTATTTTGGGTTATATATTTATTTAAGTCTTCCGCTTAATCTCATATTCCATTGTATTTAAATATTTATCATTTGTTGATGTAATTTGTAAGAAGATTAAAGCAAAAGAGTAATTTGTTGATGTAATTTGTTTTCGTGGCTTGCCTAGCTTTTACGAGTATGCGCCATCACGACTCCCGATGGTGGAAAATCTGGGTCGTGACAACTTAACTAGAAGGGGAAAACCAGAAAATGACATACCAAAAGACACAATTTTCAAACCTGTATTTTAGGTAAATTTGAGTCTAATTAGTAAATTGAAACTGAAAAATATCTTGGAAAACTTAGCGAAAAGGAAAAGAAAAAAAAGCGCATATATAAAGACATAATATTTAGATGGATTAAATCAAGAATTCAAGAAATGATCAAAACATGGATGATTACTGTAATTAGATCTATTAATTTTAGAGAACAAAAAAGAATTAGAATACTATGAATTACCAGGGGATTAGCTGATTTACAAAAAACTTTTAAGAGTTGATTTACAAAAAACTTTTACCCTTACATGAGAATTTGCTGTATCTTTTTTTTGATTTGGTAACCTCGACCAAAATCACAGTAACATACAAAACACCATCCATAAAATAAAATTATCCTATATAATAATTACCTTGAAATAAGTAAAAAATTCGAAATAGAACTTCTGAAGCAGCAGTCGCTATAACCTCTGATTATCAGACAATGTGTTCTTCAGAGAAAACCAATGGGAAAAACAAGCAAAATACCATAAGAATATCTTTCAATTGAGTAGACACAACAACTTAAAGTCCGAAGTTCACAGAGAAAAAGCTAAGGTAATCGAAAAATAAAGTTATGGAGAAGAGAGTATCTGCAGGTTTATAATTTTCTGTGTTGTACGAAAATACCTTGGAGCTGTCAATCTACGTGTTGCTTTGTAACTATAATGAGTCAGCCAAGATATAAAACCTGTCACTTTTAGAGCTAAGGCAACAATGAAAGGTCAAAAGTGGGCTTTGAAAATACCTAAAAGTTTTTCGGGGAATTGCATCTATACCCGTTTTTTGTGTCACATTTTAACTTGTGCCCGCTTTGCAAAAAAATTGCAAACGTACCCGCTTTTTCGCATAACTTCAGCACACGAGACTGAAGTAGCAAAGGCAATCACGCAAAACTTCAGCATTCTAGTAGCCAGAGTTTTTGTGTTGTAACTGGAAACTTCAGCTCTAGAGCTGAAGTTTTTATGTTGTAACTGGGAAACTTCAGCTCCAAGCTAGCTTGATATTTCTAAGCTAGCTTCAAATTGATATTTCGTTAGATAGCTGCTATAACTTTGGTGATTCTCGTTCATATTTTTAGTCATAAAGTATTTGTTCATGCTTATGAGTAATTTATCTGGTAGTAGTAGCCTGTTGCAGTTCGCTGGAAGCCATCCAACTCGTTGTTTCTCATTATCATATATCACCATTTTG